ATTTCTATCTACAGCACTCCTTCCCTCTCGAACATATTCGCCTTCCCCCCCCCCCGGTAGGAGTAACGGAGAGGGAGAACTGAAGGTTTGAAGGAGTGCACAAATGGATGATACGTCTGCTGAGAATGCTGCTAGAGGCTGAAAATCCCAGAAAAACTGCACGATTTTATGTAGAGAGCGCGAACCATGCTCAAGACATCTTTACAGCCTCCTCACCTCCTTACTTTCTTCTTCTTCTCCCTAGCGTTAGTCCCGCGCAGTCGCAGGGTCCGCTGTCTTTGTCAGTCGTCGCCACTTTAGTCTGTCCAGGGCGTCCTCTGCTGTGGCCATGACTTCACTTAGATCCTTCTTGATCACGTCTCTCCACCTCTTCTTTGGGGCTCCTCGCGGTCGCTTGCCTTGTACTTCGAAGTCCATTCGCTGTTCTTATCGGATGATCCTGTGGCCTCCTTAGCACATGCCCATACCATCATAGACGTTGTTCCCTCACCTTCAAGCTGGGACCGTTCTGACATCCTCGTTCCTGACCCTGTCCAGTCGCGTCCAGCCGCAGGCCCATCTCAGCATCCTCATCTCAGCGGAGTGAAGCTGCCTTTCGTGATTCTTGTTCAGGGCCAGCACTCGCTGCCGTATAGCATCGCAGGCCTCACTACTGTCCGGTACACCTTCCCTTTGAACGTTATAGAGCACCTTCGATCGCAGAGGATTCCAGTGTCGTATCTCTCACTTTATCCAGGCGTGTTAATTTGATGCGGTCACTCCTGATCACCACTTCCGTCGGCCAGTCTAGATCGGCTCCCACGGTTGTCGAGGTCTGCCACGCCGATGCATTCCACACTTCCGCTCTCCACAATAGACTTCTTCACCCCTTCAGAGCTTAGGAACTTGGATCTTCTTGACATCCAGCCAGAGCCCGCCTTCTGCCAGGACTTCCTCCATTTCTGCACCTTGTCCTTTCAGTTCTTATCTGCTCATCAGCTATCAGGGCTATGTCGTCAGCGTAGAGAATGCTCCTTAGGTATCTTTTCATTATTCCCTTCTCACCATGGCATTAGCGTTAAGAGGAAAAAGAAGGGCTCAGAGCTGACCCTTGATGCACCCCGACCGTGATGTCCACCTCCTTCGTTAGGCCGTATGGGGTGCGTATAGCTGCCTTGGCTCCTTCGTACATATCCCTCACCAGAGAGATGAGGTGTTCTGGCACGTTTCGTTCCCTAAGCGACCTCCATAGCACTGCTCGCGGTAGCCGGTCGAACGCCTTCTCCAGGTCGAGGAAGGCTAGGTAGCAAGGTCGGCGCTTTTCTCGATACTTCTCCATCACTTGCCTTGCGATGAAGATGGCATCCGTTCGTAATCTTCCAGGCATGAACCCGTGCTGCTCCTGGGAGATTGAGACCGGCTCCCTCAGTTTCGAGTCGACTAGCCGTCCGCACAACTTCATGGTATGCGCAGTCAACTTGATCTCGCGGTAGTTGGGAAGTCAGTCCCTTGACGTCAACCCCATTCTCCTTCGTTCAGTAAAATCACTTCATTATATAAACCAGAAGTTTGGTGTGTCGGTTTGTTTGTGTGTATGCACGTCTGTCTGTCCGTCCGCAAAATGGTCGACTAGAGGCGAGAGATATCGTGATTGTGATAACATTTTCCCACCAGTAGATAAACAACCATCCAGTAAGGTCGAATTCATTTCAGGAGGGTGGCTATGGCTGTGTGAGTTGAGTCGGGTCTATGGAGGATCACCGCGCGACGTCGTACATACGTGCGGCATGCCGCGTGTCGGAAACCGTGCGACGAATTTGAGCGAGATCTATGCGTTTGATGCTTCACGCGCATGTGCATTCGCCAGCTACTTTTCTTTGTTTCTTTTCTCTTTCACTTTTGTTATGTGGGGTGGTACCTGGACATTGTGATGGGTGACAAAGACAATAGCAATTGATAGAAGCTGATAAGGAAACTTTGAAGGCAAAAGACGTCAATGCGGTTGCGCAGTCCACGTTAAATATAACCAGCCTAGCTTGAGCAGATTCTTGGCGAATGGTGCATTTCGTTGTTGATCTAATACCAAGGAGACCAGAATTCATTCAATGACCGAAACCTTAGGCATTTCGAACACTGTAGAAGAAAGATAAGTGTAGAAGCCCAATTATTATAAGTGAGCATGTTTCATTCTAATTTTGAGGCTAACAGCATAACCCTATTCACCGCTAAATTATCAGAATTCAGGAGAAATGCTCAGTGTTTACAGGGCTATGTGTGATAAAACCTGGAGAGCCCGCGGAACCTTAGGTCGTGATGCGCGCGATACCGGGCGGAGCAAGGATAAAGCACCAAGCCACATCGCATTCAAACGCCACTACGAATGTACAAATGGAAGTAGAATGCGTGCCGCATCCCAAAAAGGGATTGATCAACGGCAAATGCTTTATCCTTCTATTTTACACTGAAGAAGAAAGAACGAGGAAATACGGGTTGATGACCAAGATGGGATGTGTATTCCAAGGTTTTTTTTCAATGCTGTGGCCACCCTTAGTGGCAAACCCCTGTGGATATCTTTTCAAGGTTTCCTAACTCTTTCAAAACCTTGCAAAACATCTAATCAACTATTCTTCTTCATCCTTAAAGACATCATTGTCCATGTAATCCATCTCACACAGTCATGCTCTATCGGCACCTTCGATCATCCCTATCGCCACATTTCACCACCAACAGCTATCGCTTTCTTTCAGATGTCAAAATTTCCTTTATTCAGCGTAAATTCACTCGTCTTTTTGTGGGGAATATCAAAACCCAACTGGCACATGCTCAGCAGCTGTCAATTTCCACAATCAAAAAAATCGATAATCCGAAAATCCGATTTACGTACCACAATCATAGTTTCATCGGCAAGATAAGAGGACGAACCTTCCGACGATGATCAATTCCCTTTTGGGATGCACCCAGCACCTGCTTGAAGGCTGAGTTCAGGATCCAATTAATGTTTTTTTTTGCGCTTGCAAGTGGCAGTGGAGATGTAGGGTGTAAAGACAGTAATTAAAAGCAGGAAGAAACTGTTGATAAGGACGGGAAGAAAGTCCCGTGTCGGGTGGCGACAAAGCGTTATAACACTGATTTGAGGACGGGCTCAATGGTTTTGTGCGGGGCCGATGCCTCGTCTTAATGCCTTAGCGCCTCCGCCTCTTCAATTCGTCTCAAAAGTTGTGCGCATGCTCCCTGTATGCTTACCACTGCATTTTTCTCGGGAAAAGCCTGATTTTGATCAGAAATCCCGCACTTGCTCTCAAGTTCAGAATCGCAGTAGCATTTAAATGCGATCTAACCTAAAGACTTTCAAAGGTGGCCCATGTACAAATCAGTGTTAACGTCCTGTCAGAGTGGAAGAGTACCCATTAACTTAACCCTTTAAATTAAGTACTCATGAGAAACGAGGAAGACAAATTTTGCTACTGGTGCACTTGAGGGAAGAGCAGAACAGGGAGCCACCTCTTTCTCCCTCACGCACCAGACGGTCAACTAAGGGTGCTTCACGATGCGTGTTTTGCAACGAAGGATCTGGGCTCCCGACCAGCAGGGCCGTTCCCGCGCCTCTCGCGGTGCTGCTCTCCCACAATTGGCTGACTGTCAGTCGGACAGCAGCCGCGAACTCTACGGCTCTAGCAGAGACGCGGAGCATAGCGATAGTAGTGATAACGTCAGCACCGATAAACCTGCTTCAAAATCTGTAAGTGACCTGGTCAAAACTTCCCATTTCCCGGTTTTAGGCCGTTAAACATGTTTTTTTTCTCGTTCGTGATCATGACTCGGCTCCCTTGATGTCTTGGTTCGAATGGGATGCTGGTTATCATTAAAGAAAGCATTTCACGAAACGAAGGGAGGCATCGGGAGTATATACGACCGAAGTACTTTACTTTTTTGTAAGGAGCACTTAACGGTTAGAAGTGCGTTGATGCGACGGCCGAGTTCGTGAGGCGCTCGCCACTTGTTCATTGGGTATTTGACGAGCTGTGTTGTGTCGAGCAGCGATCAACATGAGGGCGACCTGGATTGGAGCATGTCAAGGTGCAACGGTTCTGGTAAATCGCCTACGCTTTGATCTCGGCCGCTGCCCCTCCTCGATCGATAAGCAATGGCTAAACAAGGGGTCCTGTTTTGCGCTCTTGTCGGACTTCTCTGGTTTTGCCGTTGGCGTACCACTAAGCCCCCCACGTCACTTATATAGCCCTCTAGAACCGGTGACGTCTACAGTCTTCTCCTGGTCACTCCTGAGAAAAGTGAGACCTGTGATTGTATTCGTGTGAAAGCCTCGTATCAACTCTACTTTAATATAGGCCGTCAGCATAAGCCAGGTGTAATAGAACTCTAAGCCCTTAGCTTCAAACATATCCGAGCCTTAGTATCATATGGCTGAAGCTTGCTGGAATGATGGAGGAGAATGAGATCTCCTCTAAACTTACGCAATTGCTGCACTTCAACCCTCCACACCTCAAAGGTTTTGAGGTCTCTCAAATTACTTGATAGTTGCCGCTGTTCACTTAATTTTTGAACGATTTTCCCTTTAAAAAGGACTCTCAGAAAATAACGTCTATGAAGCATGTTTTGCTATCTTCCCGATCATAAGAAAAGCAAATAAATCAGATTAAAATGGACAATAAATCTAAGATGAGATCTTAAATAACGTGAAAAGAGAGTTTTTGAAAACAGACAGAAATGCGATAGACGGAAAAGCGAATAGGAAAAGAAAGGATATTAATAAAAAGATGTCTGGCATCTGTCTTTCGGCCTTTGTCACCACTTCTGTCTGCATTTCCTAATGTGATGATAGTGTAATGTCTGAAACGCGCTGCGCTTTATCGCTTCCATCAAATCGGATAGAAAAAAATTGGCTGAAAAGAGAAAAAAATTTATTACATATTTGAACTCTGCACACGTACTACTCGTTTTGTTTCTGTGGTGGTTTATGTATATACGATATCGTTTCGGTCACATCATTAATAATACTTATGCTAATTATTCTGTTTTGTGTAGATCACTCGGGTGTGTTCCAGATAACCGGATTTTGGATGCGTAGCTGTTCGCATCTCAATCACCTGCTCCATGTACCGGTCGTCATGTCGAATAAACGTGCGACGTAACTAAAACAGAAGTGGAACGTTCGCAGCAATGAATTTGCCCCTCCCATCTCCAGTTCTTAATCGTTTTCTGTTTTTCTATGGTCAAAAAACGGTCACGAAAACTCGAATAAATGTTGGTTAGTTGATGATTTTTACTGAACACATCGCTCACATCCTCGACGGGCAAGTCGCGTGAAAACGAGATTCGTCCAATATCCTTGAGTGTGAGAACGAGTTTGTTAGGCATCACCTTTCCAACTTCATACGTGGTGAAACCTGCAATAAAAAAAGCACGTTTAGGCGGTGGTTCAGTCTAGACGGGGGGGTGGGGTGTAAAACTGAACAAATCTCCCTTTCATGTCGTCCTGTCGGCGTTATCGCGCCGTGACAAGCGTTAATAATAAATAGGAAAGCTACTTCGATGTTATATGGAGCGTCGCGATCGTTTGGGAACTGGATTTCCTTGTCCTGGGTTCACTTCTTACACCCGGCCAGCCCCATCTTTCGTGCTTATGCATAGCCGGTTTAGATTCGAATCAATAATATTAGTCGTCAATAGTTTAGGGAGCTATTGAAAAGGAAGACGACCATTACGGCGAAACATAAAGCACTCGGCGGCTGCGTGATCAATCCTTTTTTCAGGCCGCGCCGCTCCAACCTAAACCCTTCATTCAGAATCGTACCAGTGTAATTATTCGCTGTGGCTAGCTGATGTTTAGGTCAGCGGCGTCCCCTCTCGGGCGAGTACAAGTACCAGTTACCGAGCGGCTGAGAAAACTGGCTGAGCGTAGGCCGGATTTGGTCCCACATTTGATAATCAGGCCTTGGAGGGGTACCCGCACCTGTTCTCATGAGATTACCTCCGTCGAAGAAGGACAGTACAAAGTGGGGGAAAGGAGGTACAGAAAAAAAAATATAAGAAAGGCGATTTCTTGGAAAATATCTTCGATCGATACGAATATCCTATCAATATTCCATCGTATCCCTAAATAGCAGCGTAACCAATGGTGCATATCATGGGGAACGATTTGAGGGCCAAATCGATGCCGTGTTTGAGATTGCAGATTCCCAGGTTCAATTTAGAAGGATTTTACACAGAAATTTCTTTGAATGTGCTAAAATTCAACAAGAGCATTGCTAAAACATAACCTTGGAAGTATAATTACCCATTTCGCTGAGAAGGTTTGTGTCAAACCCTCCTTCCTCACTGGGGTTCCAAGCCACTGATCGCCTATTTCGCTTTCATCTGGCAAATTCCTAAAAACGTAGCTGAAGCGATTGAGACCATACTGGCGCCTGTAAATGGGGAATGCAAAAGTTTCCCCAAGTTTTGGGCTCTAGCAGGACTCTAAGTTAGCAGTTACCCATGATACCCGAAGCTGCTCCCAAGAGTATCACTCTCTACTGCTTGCTAAAATGTAACGCCAACCTCACAAGGTATGAGCTATTCCCCTCGCTGGCTCTTCTTCTCCCCGCCCACCCCTCTCTCAGGCTGCGTTCATAGTTCGCGAATTCGATGACTAAAATAGTAAGGGATAAGGTATCAAGATAAATATTCAGCTCAATAGAAAACGATATCGATTAGATACGAAAAGGTAAGGACAGTGGGAAACTGGGTGCCATCGGTCGAATCAATAATATGTATCGAATCATTTGCCCGCGCAATTCTGCCTCCCTACTACTATCCCGATCTACTACTATCCTACCTCTTAATCTGCTGCTCTTCGTCTTCGGCAAATTCAATCGATACGCATCTAATACTGTCAGCGAGATATCCATCTACTAATCTTCTAGTCTCCTTATCAATACGTATCTTTTTCATAGTCGCCTATTATCCACAATTCCCAAGTCGCGGAACTGTAAACGCAGTTACACAGCAGATAAGTTGACCGTTTGGGAGTCAATTTTCTGATAAATCCACAAGAGGCAAATTTCATGCATCGAGGACTTCACAGCTTGACACGAAAATGAAAAAATAAATTGTACTCGCATTATCGATCATAATCACAAAGAAAGGTTCTATTCGAAGCAGATGCCAGGATTGAAAACTTGAAAAGAGTTTTTGAGAGGTGTTGAACGCTCACCATTGTTCCCAGCAGTCATTAGGGTAGCATTCCCGTTACTGTCCACAGTCAAATATCCCCATTCATCATGAAAATGATCCTTTGTTGTGTGTGACCAAGCTCTCGCCCTGAAAATTTGTCATTTCAATACTTCTTCTTACGGTAAACCTTATTACTAAGCTCTTATTACGGTGTATGTCCATACTATCCACAGCATGCAATGGAATTTAACGAATTTCATAGAAAAACGATGGAAAACTTGTTCAGTTGAAGGTAATCTGGTTGTGCATGACTGGAACTGACGTGGGTTTCAGTTTTACCGGCGTTCTCGAACGTTGAGACAGTATTCGTTTCAGTTTTACGGCAAGGCTA